TGTCTTTGTTGCAAAAACTCATATAAATCCTGGCTCCTCCCTTACCTCTTTGGAACAGTTCCTTAAAACTGTCTGGGAGGCTGTGTCCTGGGCTTAAGACCACAGTTTTGTCCACTGAAAACATAATTCTCAACCTGTGCATTTTTTATTTTTTTATTTTTTTTAGTCAACAAAGCTTATGGGTAATCCCCTCCACATGACATCTATGCCTGCTCCACAGAAATCACAGGATTCCACAGGACCCAGCCTTCATTTTCTAGGAAGCATTTTCCTTGCAAATATATGGCTGTGGAGTTGGATCCCTGGGTTGGGAAGATCCCCTGGAGGAGGGCATGGCAACCCATTCCAGTAATCTTGCCTAGAGAATCCCATGGATAGAGGAACCCGGCGAGCTACAATCCATAGGATCGCACAGAGTCGGACATGACTGAAGTAACTTAGCTGCTTATACAGAGCATCCAGATTAGACAGTTGGGAGCCAGGTATCTTTGCAGAAAGATGTTAGGCTGGAGAGGTGGACTGGGGCATGTAAGTAAAGGTGTCCTTCACAAAACTACCACAACCAACATCTCCTCATTGAGTGTCCTGGATCTACCCACTGGACCAACGTCCTTACTATGGGCAAACAAACTGAACTGAAAATTAAGAGATAAGTAAGCACTTTCTGGGTATTTGATAATATTAAGAAATTAATATTATTGGTTATTAGCTGTGATAATGATGTTGTGGTTTTTTTTTTTTAAGTCTACCTTTTAGAGATACTTCTTGAAATGTTTCCAGATGATGCGATATGATGTCTAGTATTTGACTCAAGATAATTTTGGAAAATGGGGAATGGGCGGGGATATAGATGAAACCAGATCAGTTCAGTTCAGTTCAGTCGCTCAGTTGTGTCCGACTCTTTGCGATCCCATGAATTGCAGCACGCCAGGCCTCCCTGTCCATCACCAACTCCTGGAGTCTACCCAAACTGTCCATCGAGTCGGTGATGCCATCTAGCCATCTCATCCTCTGTTGTCCCCTTCTCCTCCTGCCCCCAATCCTTCCCAGCATTAGGGTCTTTTCCAATGAGTCAACTCTTCGCATGAGGTGGCCAAAGTATTGGAGTTTCAGCTTCAACATCAGTCCTTCCAATGAACACCCAGGACTGACCTCCTTTAGGATGGACTGGTTGGATCTTCTTGCAGTCCAAGGGACTCTTAAGAGTCTTCTCCAGCACTGCAGTTCAAAAGCATCAATTCTTCAGTGCTCAGCTTTCTTCACCGTCCAACTCTCACATCCATACATGACTACTGGAAAAACCATAGCCTTGACTAGACGGACCTTTGTTGGCAAAGTAATGTCTCTGCTTTTTAATATGCTATCTATGATCAGCCATGGGTTAATAATTGTTGACATTGGTGATGGGTCCATGGGAAGTCTATGTATAATTATATCTCTGTTTGTGGAAGTTTAAATGTTGCCATAATAAAATCGTTAAGAAAGCAAAAAAAAAAAAAAAAAGGAAAGAAAGGAAGGAAGAAGGAGGGCAGGAGGGAGAAAGGAGGGAAAAGAAATGAAGAAACACTTCCCAGGCAGTGTATATCACAATCTGTAGAAATAACTGTCATGTGTCGATGAAAAGTAACTGACCCACTCTGCAGAACCATTTCCTGGACAGAAATAAATGCCCGGGCCACCTCCCCAAAGTGGGTTTAAGATTCTGGGGCTTGTAGACCTGGTGTTTCATTTGCATATCTGCATATTCATGGATGCATTAAAGAGGAATATCCTGAGCAGACCTCTGTGCCCCTCAGCCCCTGTGGCCTCTTGACAAGCCCTCTCACTTCAGAACACGGTAGACACAGGGAGGCAGCTTTGTTGAGCCACCCTTATCCTTTCAGACATTAACGTCACAGATGGCTCGGTGGTAGCTCGAGGACTAGAGTGAGGCGGTTCTCTACAACATAATTCCAGACACATATCTGAACACAGGAAGGGAGAAGATTTTACAAGTCTCTAAAATAAAATGAGTCCTTGAGAAGAGAAACAAGGATGAAGGAGGATTTCTTTATCAGCACGAGGCAGGAGCATGAGCCACCTGTCCCCTCCTAAGAGACTCAGTCTGGGATCGCAAGACCCAGCAAAGAGGACGGACACTGGAAGGCACCTCCTGCCCCGCCTTTTGTGAGGAGCATCTCTGGAGGAGGGACAGGACTCAGGGTCTGTCCCAGGGCTCTGCTCCAACCCTGCTGCCCTCCAGAAGCTCTGCTGCCTCATGGCTGGGTACACCAGGCCAGTTGCTTGACCATTCAGTGAAACGGGACAGGACTTCCCGCCTCACACGGACATTGTAAGGATCATGGGAAATCGAGGCATTGATTCATGGAAATGGTTCTCTGAGCTCTAATTTATCTCTACAGAGCTCATGATTTATCCCCATTTACCTTCCCCTCCTCCTGGGAGGAGACACAGCAGGGCAGGCATATACTTAGCCACTGGGAGACTAAACAAAGGCAGATAGGAACCAGGAAAAAGTAGGCCGAATTAAGTTTCATGTGCCCAGCCAGCCAGCTCAGAAGACTGAGGCTAGGTGAACAGGAGATGTCTAAAGTGGCCGGGGGAGGGAGGAGTGGCCAGATCTTGGTTCTTGGGGATGAACAGCAGAGGACCCACTGGAAGGGTGGGGGAGGAGCAGATTTCTGCCTGGAGCATGAGGGGGACCACTCTGGGCATGCAAAAGCCAGTGATGACTTGGCCCTTTTTATGTGCCAGGCACTGTGCTGGACATTTGGCATAAACATCTCAGGAGACTCAGCACAAAGGTGGGGGAGGGTGAGAAATCCACCTGCCTGAGATGGATGATGTAGGGAGCAGGGAGAGGAGTTTAGACCAGTCAAGGGTGACCAAGGAACAGTCAGTTCACTGCTTAAGCCTTTGGCTGATCCTCTGTTCTAGTGAGTCAGGCTAATAAGGAAGTTCAGGGCCATGGCTGGTCCTGATCAGATGCCTTAGAGAAGCCAAATCAGGTGAGAACCCACTATCCACTTGATCAAGCTATGGGGCTTTGCTCTTACACCTTTAAACTGGGCAAGGCAGGGACAGGCTGCCCCACAGTCCCTGAGATGAGCTCCAGGCTGGCCAGGGAGGGATGCAGAGCCAAGGCCTGTGTGAGCAACTGATCGCACTACAGCTGAGAAGAGATGGGAAATAGGTCTGATGAGGGCTACAGCTGTCCACAGCACTGGCCTCAGTCGGGAGTGATTTTGCTCCCCCCTGCACACCACCCTCCTAGCCTGGGGCATTTGGCAAGGCCTTGAGACATCTTTGGGAGGTGACAACTCCATCCCTACAGATGCCAGGGATGCAGCCTAACATCCTACAGTACATAAGAACCCTCCCTCCACCAAAGAATGACATGGTCCAAACTGGCGACAGTGTCAAGGTTAAGAAACCCTGGTGTTGGACTTCCCTGGAGGTCCAGTGGATATGAACCCACCTGCCAATGCCTGGGACACAGGGTGAATCCCTGGTCTGGAAAGATCCTATGGAGCAACTAAGCCCAAGCACCACAACTACTGAGCCTGCACTCTAGAGCCACCATAGTGAGAAGCCTGTGCATTGCACCAAAGAGAGGCTAAAATCCAACCCACTGCCTGGAATGAAGCTGCCCCTACCCTGAGGAAGAGGCATTTTTTTCTAACTCAGCCAGAAGCAGTGTGAGGACTTACATGGACCTGGGGATGGGGGACAAAGGAGAGGTGCCTGGGGATTGGAGCCACAGTCATATCAGAGTGGGAGGAGAATGTACCTGCTGTCACCCAGACTGCAAGTTGTACAAACAGCAATTTAAAAGAGATATTTCGTCTTTAATAGAGTGTCAAAAAGTCAACCCACATGATTACGTCATCTTCTTGCTGGCAAAGAGAGAGGTTTTAAAGCACGATGACATACCTACCAGGTGAGAAATGAGATGAGCTCAAAGATCTTCACTGCAGTACTGTTTCTAACAGTACAAGATCAGAAAATAATATTTCCATAAATGCTCATCAGGGCAGGACAATCTGGATAAACAATGGCATATCCTACAAAAGAATGAGGTCTCCAGAAATAAAGTGAAAAAAAAGCCAAGTGCACAAGCCTGTGGAGTACTGCACTGCCACCGGGTGAAAACAGGGTGAGGATCAACGTGGTACTGATAATTGCTTATATTTGCATAATCCTGGTGGCTCAGCCAGAAAGAACCTGCCTGCCAACGCAGGAGATGCGGTTCAGTCCCTGGGTGGGGAAGATCCCCTGGAGATGGAAATGGCAACACACTCCAGTGTTCTTGCCTAGGAAACCCCATGGACAGAGGAGCCTGCCCGGCTGCAGTCCATGGGGTCGCAAACAAGAGGATTTCAAACGTCACTCAGCACCAGAACCACCCAGAGGACCTCTTTTAGCCATACTTACTTCAAGCAACATCAACCTTGTTTTTATTGGGGTTGGGGCGAGGGAGGTGGGAGAGCCTCATTTTTCTTTCCCGGAGTTGAACTGCTCAGCCTTCCGGATCCTGGACCCCCACAGGCCGAGCCACCCGCGGAGATTCAAGACAAAAGCCTGTGAAAGGTACCGTTCCCTAGTTACTCCAGCCAGCCCCGAGACTGTTTCCCAATCCTCAAGTGGCCGCTGAATGTGAAAAGTTCAAGGCGCCTGAAGGAATCCCGCAGGAACCTAAGAGTTTGGAATTATCTAAGTACCCTTCACCCTCACCCCATCTCCCTTTTCCCTCTCAGGGAAACGAACTGAAGGTTTGAGTAACCTGGCCCTCCGACCTCCCCGCCTCCGCCCCACTGAGAGGGGCGGAGCGACCGCTACGATGGATCCTCCCGCCGGCTTTGTGCGCGCTTGCAATCCAACTGTCGCCGCCCCCAAGAGCCCCCTGAAGCCGGAGACGCACATTTCCGGGCCGCCCACCACCCAGATCGCACTGCCTGCCCAGATCTGCTCCGGCCCTTTCGGTCCCCGTCGGGCCCCAGTCGTCCCTCCGAAATGCCGGTCGACTTCACCGGCTACTGGAAGATGCTGACCAACGAGAACTTCGAGGAGTACTTGCGGGCGCTGGGTAAGCGCTGCCCGCCGCGCTCTGTCCGGGCGCCCGGCCGGACGTCTGAGGGTGGGATCCCAGCGCCCTCCCGAGCCAGCCGCCCATCTGCCTGCCTCCGTCAGGCCTTGCCGCCGCCCCGAGCACCCGGGCCGCGGACCGGGCGTCTCCAGGAGCCAGAGACCTGCGAATTGTCGAACGGGGGTTGTTAGGGTTCATGGTGGTCAGTGTCTGATATTTGGCTCTCGACATGGAGGATTTCATTAGAAAAGCTGGGCTTGATTGGTTAGTTCTCGTTTTCAAAGGTTTAGCATAGGGCAGAAAACTTTGTTGTGGGAAAAAAGGAAAGAAAGAAAAGGACAGCCCAGCTGCACGCAGAGGCCGTGCTAATCGAGCAAGGAACTCCAGTGGTTTTCTTGGGGTGGGGGAAGCAGGCTCGTAGGGCCCCACTACCTTGGCAGCAGTTCTCCAAATGTTTTCAGCCAACTCTCTACCCTGGCACTCCCTGCAGATGTCAATGTGGCCTTGCGCAAAATCGCCAACTTGCTGAAGCCAGACAAAGAGATCGTGCAGGAAGGCGACCACATGATCATCCGCACGCTGAGCACTTTTAGGAACTACATCATGGACTTCCAGGTTGGGAAAGAGTTTGAGGAGGATCTGACGGGCATAGACGACCGCAAGTGCATGGTGAGGCTTTGCGTTTACCTGGGCATCTCCTTCCCAGGGTTCCTGACAAAGGTGGGGCTGGGTGATCCCAGAGGGGAGCAAGGGCCCTTGTGTTCTGAAGGGCAGAGATGTTCCACTCCCAGCCCCCGAGGTAGGCAGCACCTGACTCATCAAGTTCCCCTTACATCCTAACCAGACAGTAACAGGAAAGCTGTGGTTTGTTGAATCTCTACCATGTCCTGGCTTTGAGCCAATGCTTTCTTTATATGTTTGACTTCATCCGATCTTCACAACCCTTGAGGGAAGTCTGAGGACACCCATTTTACAGATGAGGAAGCAGTCTCAAAGAGATGTGCCTGGAGTAGCACAGCTAGGGCAGGGCTGGGCAGGAATTCCAGGCAAATCTGTTGACTCTATCTGTACCATAGGCTGGGGGAGGAAGGAGAGAAGAGAGGAAACAACCAAACATAAGCAACCTTTTTCAAGTAAACTTTCTACAGGGCAGATCATGAAGTCCACTCTAGGGAGCAGAGGGCACTGTGATCTCTGCCTTCTGACCTGTCCCTCCTCATCCCCAGACTGGGGTTTGGCTCCCGGCCAGTGCCTTCCCTGTCTTCCACTGCTTCCAGGCGGCTGGCTGCCTTTGAACCTCGCAGCCAGCACCTACACAATGGGTCAATGCCCCTGCAGCCCAGGCCAGAAGGAGCAGCAGTGGAGGAGGGGAGTAAGCCACCTGTCAACAAGGGTGGGAAGTTGGTGACCTGGAGACCCCAATTAGCGCCACCACGCTGCCTCCAGAAGGTCAGCCTTGAGCCTCCATCAACATTCTGGGGGTCGCTGGGAGGTCAGGGTGCTGTCTGCCTCACTCTCAGTCATGGGTCCAGACCTAGGGGCCTGCCTTGCTTACTGATGAGATTCTCCTCATTCTTCTTCCCTATCCCCTCCCACCATTCACTGAGGGGCTACTCCATGCCCTGCACTGTGCCAGCTGTTTGACTCCACAGTGAAGGAGGGATTACTAATCCCATATTTCTCAATGACTGAGGCTCCCGGGTGAAGAGATTGAAGAAGTGGGACTTTGAGGCCCAGACTTCTGCTCTGGGGTAAGCTCCTCTGTAGGTAGCCTTTGCGGAACCTGGTGCCTGGGCTTTGGTTGACTGTGGTTGAAGGAGTGCCAGTGTCTGGGGATAAAGAGCCCCAGGCCAGGATGACTCACCCTTCCTGATTTCTTGATTCATCTGAAGGGGATCAGGAGTCAGTGATTACACTCAGAATTGTGGCGGAAGAGGGGGTGGCTGGCAAGGCGGATCCTCGGAGAGGCCACTGGTGGGAGAAAACACTGTGGTTGTAGTGAAATGTCAGGTCATGCTTCTAAAACGCCCAAGGCCTCTTAATCCTCAGAGAGGCTCACAGTGGGAAAGGAGACTTTCAGTCAGAGTCCGCCTTGATAAAGTGGGGGCCCTGCCTGTCGGACCACTGCCCAAGGTCTGGTCCCTGGCTCATTGCCTCAAACCGAATGTGAGAACAGTCCTTGTCCCCAGCCTACTCTTGAGGTACTTACAAGGCACAGCAAGCATCTCTGTTTATTTTGGGTCCCTGCCACTTCTGAAATGTGCTGGCTTATACTTGCTTGGCTAATTACCTTTGCGCTTTCATTCCCACTCTTATCCATTAATGTATGAAGCATTTATTGATCACCTGGTAATACTAGTTAATACAAGCAGACCTTGGAGAGACTGCAGGTCCAGCCCCAGATCTCAACAATAAAATGAACATTGAAATAAAGCGAGTCATACAAAGTTTTCCTTTTCCCAGTGCATATAAAACTTTTGGCTATACTAGACTGTGATTTATTAAATGTGCAATTATATTATGTGTAAACAGCAGTGTATACACCTTAACTGAAATGCTCACCATCATCTGAGCCTTGGGCAAGTTGTAAGTTGTAATCTTTTTACAATATAGTACTGTCAAAGATTACTGATCACAGATCACCATAACAAATAGTGAAAAAGTGTGAAATACTGGGAGAATTACCAAAATGTGACACTGAAATCAAATGTGAGCAAATGCTGTTGGAAAAATGGCATCAATAGACTTGTCTGATGCAAATTTGCTATGCACCTTCAATCTAAAAAGCGCAATATCATCAGGGACTCTCCGAGTGGTCCAGTGATTAAGATCCTGCACTTCCAATGCAGGGGGTGCAGGTTCAATCCTTTGTTGGGGAACTAAGATCCCACATGCCCAGCAGCATGGCCAAAACAAACCCACAATATTTTGAAGTGCAATAAAACAAGGTATGCCTGTACTCATCGAGTGCTGAAGTACTGTTCCAGTTTTATATTAACTCACTGAATTTTCACAACACTGATTTTAACCCCATTTTACAGACGAGAAAACCAAGGCAAGATTTCTTGTTGTGTGACCTTGGTGGATTAAGTAAGTGGCAGAGGGAGGGTTTGCATGTGGTCTGACCCAGTGGAACATGTCACAATCTCTGATATCCAGGAACTCACAGTCTTTGTAGCAGAGACAGATGCACACAGAGTCAGAACACAGTGTGACCAGTGGTGACAAAGGGAAGCACCAGAAGAAGGATCCCAGAAGGAGTTCCGGAGGTGGTGATGTCACAATTTACTGTAACAGGGTGGGTGGGTGGGTGGGTAGGAGGGAGGGAGGGAGGGGTTTGGCCACCCTCTTTTCTTAGCCATTAGCTCTGTGGTAGGTGAACAGATCAGGGAGCCCAGCAGCTGGGCAAACTCAGTGACATTGGGTGAGGATCCACGGTCACGTCTGCTGTCTTGGGATTCATGGAGGCCCCCTCCCAAGTAGACAGCAGGCACTTACCTTGCTGTTGCCTATGGAGAAGATGGACGGCCCTCTGCTCCGGCCTTCCTTTGGCCCCTGACTGCAGAGAAGTCCTTCCCAGCTGTCCAGTTGGATTGGGCAGCCACAGGGAAGAGCCATGGCTAGGGGAGGGTGCAGGATAATACAGTGATAGCAACTATCTAGCCTGGTGCTTGTGAATGGAGGGGAGCTGCCTGCAAGAGTCCACATGGCCCAGGCCAGGGCCCCCGGGGGTCCTGAGCAAGGTGGTTGCCAAAGATAATGTCCTTTCTGCTCCCTGTGCTCTGCACCCAGCAGGAGGAGATGTGGCTGGAGGAAACCAGTTCTCAGCTTCAGTTGGCCTCATTCTAACACATTCTTCCCAACACATTGTGAGTAGCTCATTTCTCACCTGTTGTGTTCATTCCTGTCTTGGTCCTACAAGCATTTCGTTGGTGTTTATCTTTCCAGCCCTCGTGTTACTGACATGAATCACACGGGAGTCCTGCCTTCCTGGAGCTCAGTGTAATGCAGGCAACAGACCAAAGCAGCCAATCATACTGAGATGGTGTGCTGATGGAGAGGGACAGGCAGAGAAAGACCCCCGGGTCTGGGAGGTCAGGAGCTGTTCCTGCAGAAAGTGGAGTCTCAGCAGTGGCTTGAAGGAGGGCAGGAAGTGGGCAGACAACAGAAGGGGGATGAGAACAAAGCCAAGGTCAAGAGAATAGCTCTTGTTGTTATCGTTGCTGTTCAATCACTCGGTTGTGTCTGACTCTTTGCGACTCCACAGATTGCAGCCCACCAGGCTTCCCTGTCCTTCACCACCTCCCAGAGCTTGCTCAAACTCATGTCCATTGAGTCGGAGATGCCATCCAACCATCTCATCCTCTGTCGTTCCCTTCTGCTTTCAATCTTTCCCAGCATCAGGGTCTTTTCCAATGAGTCAGTTCTTCGTATCAGATGGCCACAGTATTGGAGATTCAGCTTCAGCATCAGTCCTTCCAATGAATATTCAGGGTTGATTTCTTTTAGGGTCAATCCTAAAAGATTTGGTTTGATCTCCTTGCAGTCTAAGGGAGTCTCAAGTGTCTTCTCCAACAGCACTTGGTACTTGCTATTTCAAACCTGTCCCACACCAACCCTGGGCTCAGCCTGGGAACACAAAGGCACCCAGGCCAGTGGAGGGGCCAGACACATCCTCAGGCCTTTACCACCCAGTGCAGTGGTGGAAGCACAGTGGGTGGAATACAGGGCTGGTAGGGTGAAGGGCAGGCAGTGGTCAAGGAGGGCTTCCTGGAGCTGTGGGGAGCCTTGAAGGACAAGTAAGAATTAGGGTGGATGTGAAAAGCATTTCAGGCAAAGGGAACCAGCGGTCACAGAAGGCCCAGACATCAGAGGAGGCCTGGCTGGGAGGGGTTTTATCAGGGAAAGTGGTGCAGTCGGGAAAGACTTCACGTGGCCAGAGTATAGGGTGTGACTGGGGAAGAAGGAAGTGCTGGGGCCCAGTAGAGGGCCTGGAAGTGACCAGATAGGCGCCAGAGAGCCTGGGAGAGGTGTGGTCAGGCTGCCATCCTCCCCAAAGGGCCCAGAGAGCTCTGCTCCTGCCTCTTTCCCTGGGAACCTTATCTGTCTTCTAGAACAGCAGCCAGAGGATGAAATCCGGCCTGCAGATGTGTTTTGTTTGGCTTGCATTATGTTTGACAAATTTCAGAGCCACTTGCCAGTGATTGCCAAAGACTGTTATATCACAGAAAAATCCATATTCCTGGCTGTTCATACCCCAACAGAATCAAGACTGCTGAAAAGGCTGGGTGCCCCTTTAGTCCTGTGCCATGTAGATCCCCGGGACATGGTCACAGTTGCTCCCAGTTGATGGGACCTTTTCCACTTTACCCCAGCCCTCGCCCACCCCATTACCTGAAGTCCAGGATCAAACAGTCATATATCATTGTTTGCCTTCTGCATTCCTTAGAGCAGTGGTTTCCAGAGCTGAGATAAGCAGCAGCAGCAGTGTGTGAGGACTTGTTAGAAAAACAGATTTTCCAGCCAGACCCCAGGCCTCCCAGATCAGGAACTTTGGGAGTGAGGCCAACAATCTGGGCTTCAATAAGCCACCAAGTGGTTCTGGTGCAACTAAACCTTGAGAACCACCACTTTGGAGAAAAGAAACCTCTCTGTAATTGTGTCTCTAG